GATTTCTACAAACCTTATTGACTAATGGTGATGGGGATCCTCTGGAACTGTAGGATCATGACATTCAATCCAGTCATGGATTGAGAAATCAATCCTTGATATATTTGATAACAAACATTTATTATAATATAAGAATGAAAAAAAGATGTAGGTGTAAGGCAAAATCTTACTGGAACTATTATTTTTAGCAATTTATGATTTATTTTTTTATTTATGACTTTATCCATTTTCAATGATACCGATATTTTTAATTATTATTATCCAAATTATACTCATGCCTATATAAATTAATTTGATTGTGGCTATTTCTATGCTTAATTATTTTATTTACTTGCCATAGGTATACACAGTATTTAATAAATTAATGATAATAATTAATAACACAACATTCTAAGTGCAACAACAACAACATTAGATGACATTTTCCCCGAGATCGGGGGTTGCCGTTTGGCTACATATGATGAAACCGAAATGCCCCTCGATGCCATCCACATCTGTCACTCGCCTCAGTATATATAAAATAAAATAAATTAAAAGTACAATTTTTACAAACCTCATTGGTTATGGTGATGGGGATTCTTTAAAACTAAATGATCATGATCTAACAAGTCATGGATTGATGAATCACTGGAATCACACATTATCTTTAATAAATTTAATAACAACATGTACCACAATTTAAGAATGGGGAATATTTTGTAAAACATTAAATGAAAAAAATTTAGTTTGAATCACTCATAATGAATAAATTTTAAATTAAATTGCAAGTTAGCTTGGGGAGTTTGAAGCTTGAATTGAACAAATTACAAAATTGTTTATTTTATAAAATTGATTGATAAGTTGTTTAATATATTTATTTAATTTAGTATATTTTTTATTCCCAAACCTAAGCATTGTAAATAAAAATTTTAAAACCAATCAAGCAATAGAATTTAGGATCTTAGGAACAAGTGCTGTTAGTCGTTAGTGTAGTAGTTGGTAGTTTCTAGTAGTTTAATCTGTTAATGTTCGTTAGTGTTATCTGTTATTTATTTCAATTAGTAATTAGAATCAGTAGAGTTTAGTTTCAGTTTAATTATTAGAGTTTAGTAATTTAATTACTAATTAGTCGTCGTTTAGTGTTGTTACAGTTAATTAATGAGTTAATTAAGTGTTGTTGGTGGTTCACAAAAAATTTTTTTTATTTAAAATACAAAAAGATACTTAACCGTCATACAGCAATATCTATCCAAAACAGCATCTAGTATCACCTTTTAAAACATTTTGAAATTTTAAATAAAAGCAATATTCCGAAATTAGTAAATATACGATCGTAACTTTTGACTTGGACGATAAAAAATCACCCTCCAATTTCCCTCCGGAAGTAAGCTCCTTGTTCGACCGTCAAAAATGAGCGAAGGCCGTTATATTTATTCTAATTATATGGACTTGCCATATCCATCATATATATCCTGTTTATTAAAATTAATTTTTCTTCGACGTTTTTCGTTCTATGGATCAAGATTTTTAGCAAAAATTTATTTTAACCGATGTATGAATATTAGGGATGCACCGGATTTAAGTTTTCCAAATTCGGCCGGGGCCGGACTTAGTCGGATTTGGCCTGATTTTAGTTACCATTTTACATCCGTTAAAAAATACTCACATTTACGGTTATCTACATGTTGAACATCAAAAAATAACACCAAGTAAATAGTTAATTAATTCAAATATATAAATAAGTTGTCTAATATGCCAAATTCTATACACAAGATTAGCTTATTATTTATGCATAACCCGTGTTATAGCATAAAGAAAATTGTCCAGCTCATCTTACAATTAGTGATGTTTTAATTATGTGTCATGTATGCCTAGCCTAACCTTTAACATACCACGTTCTTAAATTATGCGCTTATGTATATATATATATATATATGTCTATATATATATATATTATGTAGCTATATGATTCAATATATACAATTATATAGTATATACACGTGCACAAGTTCTTTTACACAAAGATCAGCTCATAATTTATGCATAACCCATGTTATAGCATAAAGAAAATTGTTTAGCTCACCTCACAATTAGTGATGTTGTTATTATGCGTCATATAGCCTATGCTTAGCCTTTAACTTATTGACATAAAATTAATTGAATTCAATAAAAAATTTTTCTATTTATAACATTTTTAAATGTTGTAGATCCGGATTCGGGCGGATT